GAATGCAGAGGCAAAGAGCTGAGGTTTGGCTCTCAGCAAGCCAAACTTCCCCAGACAGCACTGACACAGCAGCTCTTCAAGCTGCTGAGGGGAGATAAAAGGAAACAACGACAGACAGAGGAGGAGAAGGAGGAGTTGAGTGTTCAGACCCTCTCTGTGCTCCAGTTCTGCCTTTTGGAATACTGAGCTCTGTCTGTCTGAAATACATGTGTGTCCCCCAATCCACACTGGCCAATTCCCTCCTCAGAGCAGCCCAGCTGAAGCTGCTGGGGATTCTCAGAGCCAGTGCTTGGCTGGTGGCAGCAGGAGGTGAGCCAGAGTGGCCTCCAGCTGACTCAGCGTGGCCGTGGGACAACTGCCAGGGCTCAGCCACATTTCTGGCCTGCTCACATGCTCTCAGCCCCTCTCTGTGCCTGCCTGGGGACACCCAGCCAGGAGACAGAGAGAAAAGGCTTTTGGGGAGGTTGTGGTGAGGAGTGTGAAGTTCCCAGTGCCAGCAGGTGGGATATCACACAATTACAGGATCATTGAGGTTGGAAAAGACCTCCAGGATCATTGAGTCCAACCTGTGACCCATCACCACCTTGACAACTAGACCAGAGCACTGAGGGCCATGTCCAGTTGTTGCTTGGACACCTTCAGGGATGGTGATTCCACCACCTCCTTGGGCAGTTCCAATGCCTGACAGCACTTTCCAGGGAGAAATTCCTCCTCAAGTCCAACCTGAACGTCTCCTGGCACAGCCTGAGGCTATTCCCTCTTTTCTTTTTCTTCCCTGGGGGCAGATCTTGATCCCACCTGGCTACACCTCCTTTCAGGGAGTTGTTAAGAGAGATAAGGATAAACTCCTCAGCTCCTGCTGTGGCTGCACTGGGCTGTTATCAGAAGAGAACTTCTCTTTGGGGGTTTGCTCATTGTGGCTGCACATTTTGCCCATCCACAGTGCAAAAACATTCCTAAGTCTCTGTGTTCGGTGTCAGCAGGGACATTGCACCCCCAAACCCCTTCCCTGCCCTTGTGGCTGAGTACTGCTCTGCCCATGATCCCCCAAACCAGGCGATTCTGCTGATCTGGTACTTTGTGATGTGTTTTAAGGCATTTTTGGTTAGCAGCTGAAGGGACATCTCAGGCTGCCAACACTCAAGTGTTGGAAATGATTATCCTCTGCGTCCAAGTGCAGAGAAGCTCCTTTCCTTGACAGGGAAATGAATATCCCTGCAAAGAGAAGCTGCAGAGAGTGAGGAGGTCCAGGCAGGGGAACAGCACATGGACCTCCTAGAGATGCCCTTGGCTAAACCCCATCCAGGAGCACCAAGGCAGAGGAGCTAATGAGGGCCAAGCTGAGGGAATGAAGTAGCTTAGCCTCCATCTATTCCCTCTCTGTGTCCCTTGGAGTGCTTTGAGCTCAGACTCACCCACCAAATCGCTCTTGAAACCTGTGTCTAGGTCTGAGTCCTGCTCTGTGCTTAGCTCGTGGCAGGAGGACGCAGGGGGAGCATTGTCCTCAGCTCTGCCTGTGACTCCTCTGCCTTAAGCCAAAAATCTTTTCATCTTTTCCCTCCTGTTCTGCTATTAGATTCATCTGCAGGTTGGGGAGTGCTTTTTGTGGAGAGGATTAGAGAGAGGGCTCTGAAATCCAACGATTAATGATGTACCTAGCAGAGGGATTAAAGGTGGGTTGCTCCCTGAGCTCCCCCCAGCCCTGGGGAGCAGCTGAGCTGTTGTTGGTCAGCAGAGTGGGATCTGTGCTCTGCTGAGCCTTGTGGTCCTGCACATGTCAGGGGAGGTCAGAGAGGCACAGAATCACACCCTGCTGGGGGTTGGAAGGAGCTTAAAGCACATTCAGTGCCAAACCCTGCCATGGGCAGGGACATTTTCCACCAGCCCAGGCTGCTCCAAGCCCCATCCAACCTGGCCTAGCAAA